AGTAATATATGGCAAAATAAAATAAAAAACTTGAAGTAACCAGCACCAAAGGTTTTATAAATAAAGTAACGGAAACGTTTCGAATGCAATGTTATAAAACTTGAAGCGTTTCAGTCTTCGAAAACTTGGACCACCCATGGTTTTCTTATAATATACAGGGTGTTCGTAAGTTGAGTTCAGAAACTTGGAGGAAAGATTCAACGTGGTAAAATAATGGGAGACAGTAGGTCATGTAACAAAAATTTGAAATTGTAATATTTCCCGAGTTATAGCTTGTCATAATTCTGAGCCCCGAATTAGTAAAAGTCATCGTTTAAAAATAAATCTGTCACTAAAGGGCACTTTGCCTAGAACACAAATCCCCAAAACTTGTTTTAAAAATCGATAAGTGTTATCGTTTAGCCACAAATCGACTTTTTCATTCTCGGCCCGAATACACCGCACTAATTTACAGAAAGGTGATACTGGATATTGCGATATGCACCTCTGTCACTAAAATTTCTCAAAACGGTACGCTACAAATTATAAAAAGGAAAAAATGGCATAAATCAATACAACATGTTTAATTTAAGTAACATAAATACATTTAACATTTTCCCAAATAAAAAATTATTAATTATAATCGGGAATTAAACAGTATACAATGCTAATCATAATTCATTTCTAATCGTTTTTTTATACATTTTACAAAATGTGGTCGAACACGAAAGAATACGCCAAACCTATTTCTAATGATTTCGCAATCGTTTATTATTTTTTGTCGTAGATCATTGATATCTGTTACAGGTGCTTCATACATTAAAGACTGAGTTCCCTTAAAAAAAAGGAAGTTCATCGGATTAAGGTCTGGTGAGCGAGGCGGCCAAGCTAGAGATCCGCGACGACCTATGCCTGGTTTAAATACCTTCGTACAGCCAATGGAGTAGGACTCCACCTTGCATTAACCACTTGTTTTGTCTCCACTGCAAAGGTACCTCTTCCAGCAAAGGTGGTAGTTGGTCTTGGAGAAATTGCAAATACATTTCCTCATTAAACAATCCGTTAAAGAAAGAAGGTCCTATAAGATTATCTCCTATAATCCCCGTCCATGCAATTAAAGAAAACCGGCGCTGATGTTTTCCTTCAATTTTTGCATGTGGGTTTTTAATGATCCACTGAATGCAGCCTTGTTAGTGAACAAAATGACATTGAAGAATTGCGGATAATTTTGAATACAGCGCTGGAACCCTTTAAACATGAAGGGACAGAAGATCATTTTCATTCAAACTTAGCAGCAAGTTTTCTCGTACTCATTCACATTTTGAAGTATGTCTCAGCAAATGGAACGTTTCTATTTCGATAAGCCTCGATATAAAGCCATAGTGCTTTCCTCTTCCGTAGCGAAAATGCATATCGCGATATTCAGTATTTGAGTTCTCCTGATGGGCCATCACAGTAGCCGTTGGATAATAGGCTTTTTTAATAGAAACTAATTTTGAACGAATCGTACCAATGACTTTTTTTCAAATTTCATCAAGTCCTGTTAGGTAAAATCACATTTACAGGTAAACTTCGAACCGAGAATGAAATAGTCGATTTGTGGCCAAACGATAACACTTATCGACTTAAAACAAGAGTAACAGTTTCTGAGGATTTGTAATTCTGCTTTAGGAAATCTGTTATAATTTGCAATATCAGTCTAAATAAATAAAATACAGCGAAAATAAAAAAAATGTTCTAGGTAAAGTGTCCATAAAGGGCGTCCATAAAACATCCTCGGGATATCTGACGGGACATACCGTATATCCTAGAGATATATTGTTTTAAGGGACATCTTTAAGACGTCTCAAGGATATACGAAGATATACATAGATGTAAGAAAGTGACTAACTGATACGAATTAGGAAAGACCCGGGCACGCTGTAAGAATGTATGCTGTATGGCCGAACAGGTCCGTACTTTGCTTAGAATTTAATTATTTGGGGTTTTGTTAGGAAAGATACTAAACAACATTTATTTATTTATGTATGTATTTAGGTTTAAATCTAAAATAAAATTACAAATTATTTTTATTACCTACTTAAATGTCAGCATCGCTACTTTTTTTCCTCGCTGAATTGGGATTATTTTCAATTTTCCATACAGTTAATGCTGGAATTTTCGTCAATGTGGCTATTTCTTCTTAAGATGCTTGCTTGCTGGCACCAATGACTGACGTTCAATTAGAGTCAAATAAACATTGTTTATAACTTCCTTAGTCTCAATAGAATAGTGTTTTTTACATTTGGACGGGAGCATCTCCTGAGATACACTAGACTCGCACATATTTTGCATAATTCGCACACGATTCAACACACGCTGTATTACACACGAAATAAGAATGATTACTAATAAACTTAACCTAAGTAGTATACCAAACCAAAGAATATTAAACACGGGTAGGTATAAAATTATTTTCTATTACGGACCACAATTTTACCTGAATTTAAATTCTGAAACTTAAGGTAATAATCTTGTTGCATTGTATGTTAATGACCACCCTTGAATTCAAAAGCAATTGGTCACTTTCTATGAACAGACCATACTAATTGGAACGCCCACAGTATATCAGATAAGACGTTTGTCAGGATATACTAAGGATATCCAGTTATATTAGTTTATACGTTGATATAGATATACCAGTGGACCTTACTTATTAGGTTATTTCCAACAATCTATGAGAAAAATTGGAAAGGTAATATTCAGTAGTCCCATTGATTGTACGGCTACAAAAATTGTATCCCAGTGTTTGGTACTCGCCTGTGATGGAATTAACTCATTGGATATGATTGGTGAAGTCATCACTGGAATATCAGGCGATATTTGAAATGCACAAGTTTTTCCAATTAATATTTAAACTTTAATTTTTTTTATAAACTTTATATAAATTTTTGTCTATTGTAGATATGAAAAAATTGTAGGTACATAATATAGCAAAAATATAGAACAATCTAACCTAAAGTTTCTTAAATATACGATAATATACTATACCTTGCATTAAACTCTAAAAGAATAACTAATATTTCACAGGTTTTCTGTTATTTTTTGGTGAAAGTAGTTCTTTTCAGCAAAGCAGCTATTGAATTCTCATATTCTTTTGATGTTTGTGATGTGTTTGCCTTATTATCCGCATCTGCAAATATTCTAGTTTTGAGAAAGACAGGTTTTATATATCTGTAGTCTTTGACAGTAAAAGCCTATTTTCATGCAATATTTTTTGTCAACCTAAAAAAATACCTAGTTTTTTTTCTCGTGATGGTAACTATTATCGCCATGAAAACAAGCCCTACAAAATAGGAAAATCGTTTTCTTGAATTAACCCAACAACCAATTTAATGTGATAATTGTATTTTATGCAGGCTGATTCCTAAAATTAATACTTTGTTTTTCCGCGCTGATTCTTGCATCCATTTTAAGAAAAAAATATACTAACTATACTATATAATTAAAAATATAATTTTGTTTTGGGGAATTTTCTCTAACATTGTTGTAATTGTAATTTTTTTACTTAGATGAATCCGTATTTTCTGTCGTATTCTCATAAAAAAGCGTTTCTTGTTTCATTCGTGTCCAAAAATAATAAAAACAAGTTGGTTCTAAAGGTTTGATTCCGGATTTTTTTAGGACTTGGCAACACTAACGTCGATGTAGATGTGCACTAACTATACTATATAATTAAAAATATAATCTTGTTCTGTGGGATTGTTGTAATTGTAATTTTTTTACTTAGATGAATCCGTATTTTCTGTGGTATTCTCATTAAAAACCCGTTTCTTGTCTCGTTCGTGTCCAAAAATAATAAAAACCAGTTGGTTCTAAAGGTTTGATTCCGGATTTTTTTAGGACTTGGCAACACTGACGTCGATGTAGACGTGAACAAAAACGTTGCCAATAAAAAAAATGTCTCCCAAAACACCACAAATCTAAAAAAACTAAGTATCTTCTCAGTTGTTCCAAATTTAACTTTTTATGTTTCATTTCGTTTTAGGGTTTCTCACTTTTTTCCCTTATTTTTATTCAAGTGTTCCCATTATGGCGCAAAGGGATATCCTCAGGCCATCTATTTAGAGGATATCTGAGGTATATCTTGTACAGTAAATCCACACGCTATCCATTCAGAGGATATCCCTGAGATGTATTTTACAGTATATTCTTAGTATATATTCTAATGTATATCCTAAGAATGTCCTCGACATGTCCCGGGACATGCGACTTAAATGGGACATTGACTGGATGTACTGGGGATATTGTGTGCTATCTGGGGTCTTGTGACAGATTTCTCAAACACTTTTATTTTGTAACGATGACTTTTATTAAATCAGGGCTGTGTATAAAAACTAACTTCTTTCGTTGAGAGTTAAGCCTACTGCATTAAAAACAAAATTAAAAATCTTTTAAAAATGAATCTTTCCTTCAAATTTCCGAACACCCTGTATAAATATATCGGGTGGTTCCAAACACTCGATTTTTCGCAGACACTTAAAACGCTACGACAATGTCGTCAGTGTCGCTAAAACCGCAACTGTATATGATTACAAATAAGCGAGATACCATGCAAAAGTGTAGAAAAAGTGTGGCATCCTGTGCACTCTTTCTCACGGGAATAAGTATTTCCTGCGAGACCCGGACTCGGTAGTCCGGGAACACCGACGCACTTTCAATTGAAACGCGCATCGTGATGCCATCATCGTGTACGGCGAACGGGTCTCCGTTAGTGTGAAACGTCACAGATTTTTACTTCTATGGAATGGGGGATCCCGCTGACCGACAACACCGTCGACGCGTCAACGTGTTTCCCCAAATCGTGACGCAATCGAAGGCGACGTCGCCAACGGTAGAATCGGCTAGTACGTTATCCATTGGAAGTGTTCGTAAGCGCGAGCCCCGTTTGCTCCGAAAAAATCGTAGATCCGGCAACGTCGCGCACGAGGTCGCGAGAACAACGTGCTCAACGCGCCAAACGCATCTTCGAATCTTAGAAAGTCCGGCGGGTTTTCTGCCTTATTCATCGTCGGTCATTGGAGTACGCGTTCGCTTCCGAAAAATTCGGGCAAAACTATCGCGAACACCATAGCATGACGGTACCAGACTTATTTAGATCGTTCCGTACGATGTACGACGCCCGACGTCGTCGCGAGCCTAAATCGACGGTTTTGGTGTTGTGTTTTCTCGAGGATTATCACGCCGATAAGGTGGTACTACCGGTAAGTACCCAGTTATCTTTTAGTTTTATAAAAGGCTGGAAAAAATTCTTTCAGCCGAAGTCAGTTATGCATTTTCAATTTCCGGACTTTGAAATATCCGAAATCAGTCACAGTGAAACATAAACACGGAAATATTTTTCGTTGGATATTTCCAATGGTATATTTACCATTTTCATTTTACTCGGACATTTTGAAGACTTTAGAATAAATCGAAATCAGTTAAGCAGAATTTATTTTTGCTTTGAATTTTACAATTTTTTTTACATTAACTAACCAAAACTTTTGAAATCCAAAGCAAAAGGCAATTTTAATGTTCTGGCTATTTTAAAGGCGGGAAAATGGAAATTATATATTTTCACAAAAAAAATATTTCTATGTTCATAAAAGCCAAAACTGCAATCCTAATCTATGTAAATGATTTCGGCTAAACCAAAGTTGAGGGCGAGTTGGACGAATTCGCGTTTTAATTGGTTAAATTGGAGAAAAAGTCACAACATTTTGATAGTTTATCTACAAGAACATCGTTGTTATTAAATGAACGATTAGAATAAAATTTGAAACTTTTGAAAAGGGACATTCCCTTTCCTAAAAAAAGATAGGCGAAAACTGATGTTAAGAAAAATTTTGTGTTTCTATGAAAACATTTCCAAACCAAATTTTTACGCAGATTTCATTGATGTACATATAATATTTTTAAAATTACTAGTTTATTAGTTAAAAACCGAAAAATCGATTTTTTTTATGTGGGGCATATAATTTAGATTTTCAAATATAGCATTCTTCATATTTTGCTCGAGTCTTCTTCAAAATTCGCTTTGAATAAGTAGGCTTTGGACGGAGCGAGTTTAATACCGGAAACAAATGCACGAACAAATAATCTATCAAATTGTGAATTTGGTTGTTAGCACTTCAAGTCTTGATTTGACTCTTTCAAATAAATGGAATACTATGGCTTTAGAAAAAGAGAAGGTATGCGGTATTCAACAGCCTAGATGGCCGCTGATTGATCGTCAATAAGTTTGGATGTGGCATTTGTGCGGCAGTATTTTCTTAGTGTGGAAATCGTTGTTTTGAAAGAAAATAAAGTGCAGGTTAGTGGCTGAAATGTAGAGGCATTCGCCGAAAATCATTAGTTTCTCTACGAATTTTTATCATGGTAGCGCCACTATATTATCTGATAGTTATATGTTTTAGTCACTACTGGTACGCATTTGTTTTCTGTATTACGGTTGCTCCGTCCAAAGCCTGCTTGTCCAAGGCACAAAACTTTTATTTTTTCCAAGAAGACTCGCGCAATAACCAATAAAGTATTGATTTTCAAAATGTTATATTGAAACTGTGTTAAAAATTTAAATGTTCTCATAGAAATACAAAACTTTCCATAACAATAAAGTTGCAGCTATTTTTTCAAAATGCACATTTTCGAAAAAAACTAAAACGGGAACACTTTTCACCATAATTTTACCTACATTAGTTTTCGTCTGTCTTGTGTATACCAATTTGGGCCACCCTAAACAGGGTATGCTCCGTGTAATTTTAATCGCAATCTGTAAAAAGGCTTATCGTTAAACAAACATCAAATTATATAAATGGATAATCATGATCATAGGAACTATGCGTCAGTTCAATTTTATTTAAGTTATGTAGATCTTTTATAGACTGCTGTTATCGCAGATCGGTTTTCACGTTCCTTCGCGAACAATCAGAACATCTCCAATATTCCACCTTCCAACTCCTCCAAAAACTTCTTGTCTAGAAGGTCACTCTTTAAATCAATGGACATTTTTAATTGTATGTGGAGTGATATAGATATCAATGATCTAACACCGGCTCAGTTTACTTTGGCATTAAAAGATATTTTAGCGAATTAATTGTCTTGCCATTGGATATTATATATGTTATACAATAAAGCTTATTATTATTATTGTTATTATCTTGCTGAAACTACATTTACTGGATCTCAACTTCTTGAATCATTCTGCAAAAAATTTTGTGGCTGGCGAAAAAAAATGTGGTCTAATAAATTTAAAGTTTTATTCCCCACCACACATTAAGTGATCGATGATTTTGATTTTGCACTTCCCGTGTCCAGAATGGAATCCTGCTAAAAACGTTATTTCAGACAACAAATTTAGATGATCCTCTATTGCTTATGAGGGTGCGGAAGTTTACCCTTTGTCCAAAATTACGGTCTAGGAGTTCTTGACGTAGTTCCACATAGAAAAGAGAATATTTGTGTGTTCACATAAACTTTCTGCTTCTGATCGCTTTCCTCATGGTAGTATTCCGATTTACCATTTTCCTTTTTTCGTATTCAATACTACCGTTAGCATTAAGCCTTTCGATTAAACACTGAAGAGATTGTCCAGTACTTCGCATTGTAAAGTCTTGCTGCCAATAAAGTATTTTATTCCGCTTTACCCAGTATATAAATCATATCAATTAATTCAACTTAAGGAAAATCCATACTTGTTTTTTTTTTTAATTTACTGTATTTGACCACTCAAATGTTTTTGTGTCAATTGCGCAGTCACTTGGTCAAAATAATTTTAAAAATACAATGAAAATTATATTTATTTGTGTTGTGCGTTACACCGCCGTCGCGTCGTTCTGAGAACTAAATGGAGTCGATATTTTTGGGATTGGGATTCCCCGAATCGTATCCAGTTCGGGAATTTCTTGAAGAGGGTTATAGGTAAATTGGACATTACAAATGCATAATAGCATATTATAATATACATATTATTATTAAACACTCTACAGTTGCAAGAATTTATTTATAATATTTTGATCAAATTTGACTGGTCAACTAAGGGTTGCCTCACAGTGGACACGGATGCGGAATTTGTGACCTTTCGAATTCGGGGAATAATTTTTTTTTAATTCGTATCTCATCTAAAATATATTTGTCGCAAGAAAATTGTATTTGCCAGGATAATTCTTACACTATTACAAGAAATATGTTTGTATTATTACAATTCTACTTTATTTATTGAAAGAAAATAGGTATACTAGGTACAGTTATTATTTATTTGCGAGAGCTTTTCGTTAAAGTAACAAAAGTGAAATATTTATTTCAAGCGATGCAAAATTAATTTAAGGTATAAGGAAAGCGCAATTTGCGAACAATAATATTCAATTTAACCAAAATGTAGCGAAAGTCGACGTTTTATCAAAATCAAATTTGCTATGTTCAGGTCGGTTTTTTCGCCTAGCTACTTGAATATATATATATATATATATATATATATATATATATATATATATATATATATATATATATATATATATATATATATATATATATATATATATATATATATATATATATATATATGCAAAAGCATGAGCAATGTAGGTGTAATCTTAGTGACTTTGGTTGCTTCTACAATGGCAAAGAGTTGTAATGTTATGCCATATTTTCTTACTTTCTCTCTTTTTGCACTTATAGCTTCTTTTACTTGAGCAGAGGTCTAAAATAACCCATACCTTTAATTTATTTTCTTCAATAGAAACAAGGTATACTTGGGCCAGAATTATAGTGCTTTTACAACCGACCCCGTCATTAACTTTCCCTACTATTTATTACTTCAAAACCGCAGCTCTTTATAGAACACCCTGCCGAGCAGACTCTTACCCGTATCCATTCCAGTATGTTTTCAATCTTTTTCGCCGAGCAATTCTTGAAATTTGTACATAAAAAAATAGCACAAATTAACATATATGTTACTTATTTTTATTGCTGCTCCTAATTCCCCTTCTGAATTTCTTATACAACTGTAAACATTCAAAACAATTTGTTTAGCAAATGGATCCGTTTTATATTTGCTGAAGTAGTTCGTCTTCTAAATTGTCATTAGGTTCGACTACCATCTCCACTTCGCCTTCAAATTCTGCGTTGTTTTCCATGTCTTCTTCTAACAGGGAAACATCTGCTTCATTCCACGGTCTCCACATTTTAAAGTGTTAAAAAACAGCAACCGTCAAAAAATGTTTAATGGTGACATTCTAATAAATGTCTTAAAAAAGACTGTTGTTGTTTACAAATCGAAGAACTATGCAGAAGACACAAAATTACAAGAAGAGGAATGTTGTTAATAAACGGCACACAAGACAAGAATGATTATTTTCAAACTTACCTTTAAGATAAATAGACAGAGAATAGAATAAATAAACAGAGCTCAGTGAAAACAGCCTCGCAGGGTCAGAGCTCAGGTACACAAAACGTATTTACTGGAAGTAACACATTTAAATACCTCCGTAATATGTACGACCATATTGTAATTTAGATTAAACTCCTAAGAACGATACATATCACCTGATGTTAAACGCTTCTACTTATTCGAAAATACCCCGCAGCATCAATGTTTAATTAAATTTAAAACGGTCCATTTACGTTTCAAATAAGAATTTCAAGTTTCTACAAATATTCGTTACGGTCCATCTAGGGCGAGATCTACTTAATGCAGAGTAAAGATCTGTTGGAATGGATTTTACCACGGTCCTGCGAAGGTCTGCTGTAAAATACTTGAAACGTCAAAGCAATAAATGCACTATATTTTTGGTCGTACAATACCTACTTTTACTTGAAAAGCAATAGGTTATTTGATATTAAATATTAAATATTTTAATTTCTACATAACCTGAAACACCAGATGTTCCCCTCCCAATTCAGATAATAATTTATCTATTATCAATAATTTCTATATTCCAGTTAATACTAAACGCATGTGTTGTTAAGAATTGTTCAGGGAATAAATTATATAATATAAATTTTATTAATTTCGGTTTGTAGAACATTTCAGCAAAATTTTATTGGCCCAATAAGAATATAATTTGGAAAATTGTGCATTATTGAATTAAATATTTTAGTAGAAATATAATCAATTTTATTCTTGTAATTAATTTTTTAGTTAAGTTAATAAAAAATCTCTAAGTGTAGTATTTTCTCATAACCAATGAGATAACGAACTTTATCGTTGACTCACCCTTCACAGAACCCATTTTTAAAGCAAAACAAATCTATAACATCGCTTGCGGTGCGTAGACAGTTTAGCCGCTGTGCTTCGCCGTTTCCCAGACCCGAGCACGCATGCATCATCCAAATGGCTCGGAAATTTTCCGAATTAATTTTTGGGGGATCGCTCGCGTTGGCGGATTATCCGGTGATATTTTCGTAGACGGTTTTGTTTTTTCGCCATCGCCGTTTAACTTAATAACGGTGTAATGTTATTGGATGCGATCCAGGTTTTAAATATTATTCAGCCGCCTCTCCGCTGTGGGCGGAATTTTTCAACCAACTCTCGCCGCGGGAAAATCCCGACCTGACGTTACGTAGATATAGTACTATCGAACATTTCATAGGCGGATCGCTTGCTTAAGCACACGCCCATCGTCGATAACAGCTTCGCGAAAAACTGACATGTCGGTTTCAGGTGACGACGACGACGAAGTCCGAGCGACCCGAGACGAGCGAAATGGGCGACGAAAACCCGTACGACCACGGCTACGGGTGCCAATGCGCCGAATGCCTTAACAAATACGGCCTGCAGCTGCTTCTCAGGGGTATCGAGGAACACACCAAAACCACCAGCGGAGCTAGACCGTCGACGTCCAGCTTCTACGACGACGCCTCGTTCCTTCATCCATCTACTTCGTCGGGTTATATGCAGAGTACCAGCCCGTGGTCCTCCAGGACGTACGAGGAGCACTTACCCAAATCGCTGGACGAAATCGGTCAGCCTCAGGCGTCGACGTCCACCGGATATCGCGGTTCGTTTCACGACGATACCCAATCGAAGAAAATTAAAAGGTGCGCCCATTGCGATAAAGAGTTCACACACAAAGGCGATTACAACAAACACCAGCGGGTTCACACCAACGAAAGGCCTTATCCGTGCGGAGTTTGTGGCAAAACCTTCACCCACAGCTCGAACCTGCACAGGCACGAGAGGACGACCCATAGCGTCGACCGGCCGTTCACTTGCGTCGACTGCAACAAGAGCTTCAACCGGAAAGACAAGCTGGAAGCGCACAGGAAGAGTAAAACCTGCAACAGCAAGAGAGGGTGGAAGTGAAAGGCGGAGCCGGCGATTTTTGACGCGATCTCATCTTCTAGTCCCTCTGAGACGTTTCGTGGTGTCGAGATTGTCTCGATCACATTCCAGGACGACCAGCGGCGTGCGCTTCAAATGTTGTAAATATTGGTATCGAATAAATTGCGACGTTGTTATTTTCGCGGCATTTCTATTCACCCGGGACGGGTGCAGACGTTCGTTTTTACAGTTCATTATATTAGATTAGCACTATTAAATATAACAGACGACATTCTCCGGAAGCCAAATGACTGCGCTTATTTTGCTGGATTACTCAAAAGCTTTCGATCAAATCAATCATGAAGTTCTACTGTCAATACCGCACCATTTGGGGGTTTCAAGTGCTGCAGTCTCTTTTATGCGTAGTCTCTGTAATGATCGCTTTCAGTTTGTTGCAACATCTAAAGGAGAATCAAGTAATGTTATTATTCCGTGTGGAGTACCCCAAGGCTCAATATTAGCGCCTGTCCTTTTTAATATATATATATATATATATATATATGATGACACTATATTCCGGGATATCATCCGTTCGCTCGTTGAACTCCGACTGGAATCCTGCTTCCGACTGGAATCCTGCAGACGTTTCGCCAAAATCTCACTTGGCATCTTCAATGCTCGCGCTCCGAAAACACTTCGAATATATATATATATATATATATATATATATATATATATATATATATATATATATATATATATATATATATATATATATATATATATATATATATATATATATATATATATATATATATATATATATATAGTTGAAAAATATGCTTTTCTTGGATCCTTGTATATTTTTTATAGGATGATTCTTAGGGTTTGGTCCACAGTGAACAAAACTCACAAATAATTATAAAACACTGTAATTGTCATTGACGTTTCGACCGGCAACCCAGGTCTTTCTCAAAAACTGCAAAACAAAGGACAAAAAAAGCGTCTAACACAGAATATCTTAAACAGTAGACATATACGAATTTAAAAATTACAAATATTACAAAAACAAATGACATATATTAGTCATACTCACAAATTTATTTTTTTTTTTTAAATGTCTATTATTAGCGCTGTTTGTGAAAAAGTACCACAACATACATCATTGCCAAAAACAACAACGTTCTTGTTTCGGCGTACGAATCACAAATAGAAGTGGAAAATAAACATTCATTGTATCTGATGTCTTTTTTTTTCTCCCTCTTAGTTTTTATTTATTTATTTTTTTAGAGTGCACGTTTGTGTTAAGTTTAAGATCTACTGATACGCAGTGAAGCATCTGAGCATTAAAATGGTCTACTTTAACAATTCGAAATAGATTTCACTCAGGTGTTTTATGTCGGTTTTCGCGTTTATGGCGTTTTTATTCCTTTGAATATGTATCATCTCAATTATTTCCCTTTTTTGTGTGTTTGGTTCGGTAGCGAGTATTTTTGTGTCATCGAAGTTAAAGTATGTGTTTTCTCCGTTATATGGCTGCTGATGGCTGTTTTGTTTTTTTTGTCGTACTTATGACCATTGATGCGGTTCTTCAACAGTTGGCTAGTCTGTCCAATGTACACTTGGTCACAGTCGTTGCATGGTATTTGATATACAATGTGACTTTTTTTATCTTTGGGTATTGGTGTTTTTAATTTACTGAAATTCCTATTTAACAAATTTTGACCCTTGTGGCAGATTGTTACAGAGCTTCCCTTAAACACATTCGAGATTTTTTCCGATAAATTTGGTATGTATGGCAACGAACAATATTTTCGTTTTGATGGTTGTGTGTTTTCCTTAACAGAAATCTTGTTGTAGAATTTATGTATCCTTCTTTTAAAAATAGAGTTAATTAAGGCACTTGGGTAATTGTTTAGTTTTAGTGTGTACTTAGCCTTATATAAAGCTTCTTTTCTGTACTCTGGATCAGATAGATTTATAGCTCTGTCAGCCAACCCGATAATAACAGTCTTTTTTTGTGATATTGGGTGTTGGGAGTGAAAATTAAGGTATCGTCCAGACCATGTATCTTTTGTGTACCACATCGTTCTGATTTTGTTTTCCTTGCGTATTAGTGTCATGTCTAAGAAGTTAATTTTGTCATCTTTTTCATATTCTATGGTAAATTTTATCTTTGTGTGATATGAGTTAAAACTATTCAGAATGAGGTCGCCCTTTTCTTTAGGTATTGCTAGAAAACAGTCGTCGACATATCGATAGAAACAGGGTAATTTAATAGTCATTTTGTCAATAACTGTTTTTTCTAGGTCTTCGGGAACAAGTTGCGCAATTACACTCGAAATAGAAGCACCCATGGCACAACCGTCAATCTGCTTGTAATATTTATTATTATATATGAAATAGGTCGAATTTTGAGTTAATTTTATGGCTTCCACGAACTCGTCTAGTGGAATGTCTGTGTGAAGTTTGATCATGTCCCATTTTTTATTTATTATGTCTATAGCTAAATCGATAGGAATATTTGTGTAGAGGGACACTACATCTAGAGATGCTAAAATGTGGTCATGCGGTAGAATGATTCTGCTATTTTTTTCTTTAAACTGCCACGAATCTTTAATATAGTATTCATTATCATTCACTATGTTTTTTAAGATGTTTTTTAAGAATTTTGATAATTTTTCGAAAGGGGACTGAGTGCAAGAGACAATAGGTCTTAACGGGATATTTTGTTTATGCAGTTTTGGTAAGCCGTAGATCCTTGGGGCGATAGCATTATTAATTTTTAAGTGTTTTGCAGTTTGCGGCGAGATTAGGAGAGCTTTTTCCCATCGTAACACAAACGTACACTCTAAAAAAATAAATAAATAAAAACTAAGAGGGAGAAAAAAAAAAGACATCAGATACAATGAATGTTTATTTTTCACTTCTATTTGTGATTCGTACGCCGAAACAAGAACGTTATTGTTTTTGGCAATGATGTATGTTGTGGTACTTTTTCACAAACAGCGCTAATAATAGACATTTAAAAAAAAAATAAATTTGTGAGTATGACTAATATATGTCATTTGTTTTTGTAATATTTGTAATTTTTAAATTAGTATATGTCTACTGTTTAAGATATTCTGTGTTAGACGCTTTTTTTGTCCTTTGTTTTGCAGTTTTTGAGAAAGACCTGGGTTGCCGGTCGAAACGTCAATGACAATTACAGTGTTTTATAATTATTTGTGAGTTTTGTTCACTGTGGACCAAACCCTAAGAATCATCCTATAAAATATATATATATATATATATATATATATATATATATATATATATATATATATATATATATATATATATATATATATATATATATATATATATATATATATATATATATATATATATATATATATATATATATATATATATATATATATATATATATATATATATATACATGCAGTTTGAATCGTTGTTTACAGGACTACAAAATTCATTCCTATGTTGAGGATATCAAGAACGTTGAAGAATTTTCAGACTCGAAATAAATGCTACCAAATCTAACCTTATGTTATTTGCCCAATCTAAGGAAGTAATTAAACGTCACTTTTGAATACGCGTGAAAGATCAATATTTTTTAAGCCCCACGTAAAGAAGTGCATTCAAAAAGCCTATATGAGTTAAAAAAATTATCCCAGTTGTCACCTTTTAAAAACTAACCTTAAAATTACATTAATGGATTTACTGGTACTTTCTCGTTTTAATTATGAAGATGGTTTCTGGTCCTTGTTTGGATATCAAGAAGATGTAACCAGAATACAGAGAGTGCAAAAGTCGTGTTTACGATTGACCTACGGTGTCAGGCGTCGTCATCGCATATCGTATTAACTCCGTGAGGCAAAGTGGCTATCAATGGAAAAATGTCGACAGTTTCATTGCCATAATATAATTTTAAATGCCTGCCCTCCATATCTCTTCGAAAATAGTATATTATGCAACAAGTGCGGTAAACGGCATTCGACTCACGAGTTTATTTGACACGAGCGGAGCGCAGAATAAGAATACATTGACTGAGGTGACGGTCAGAATTGACAAACGTCAAAATTCAAAGCGTGGGAAATATCTCCGAAAACATCCGCTTCCTGCACGCTAGATCGGTATATAATTAGGTATTTTACAGACAGGAGTAGAAATAGTATATTATGCAACAAGTGCGGTAAACGTCATTTGACTCACCAGTTTTTTTGACACGAGCGGAGCGAGTTTTTAATAAACGAGTGAGTTAAAAAGGTTACCGAACGTGGTGCATACTATACTTTTTCTACGACCGTTAGTTTTTAGGTGCATTTTCGCAAAACAACACGAATACATTCACTGACATGACCGTCAGAATTGACAAACGTCAAAATTCAAAGCGTGGGAAATATCTCCGAAAACATCCGCTTCCTGCACCCTAGATCGGTATGTAATTAGGTATTTTACAGAAGGGAGTACAAAAATAAAATACCGGACTGAGGTCCACACTTTGAATCTTCGATATAGTTGTCTTATTTCTCCTCCCCTGCATCGTAAAGCATTGTTTGCAAGATCTTACTGTATCTATAAATGGTATAATGCTGTTCCCAATAACATAAAGAAATTGATGCCCGCGTTTTTAGAAACAATTCTAAAACTTTTCTTTATGATCAATCTAATAGTCAAAGATAATTAGCCGAAGTAAATTTCTATTAATAATATACTGTACAGTTTGTTTGTTTTTATGTTTGTTAATGAATTAATATATTCAGTATGCATCATAATATGTTAAAATATAAATAGCTATGAAATTGGGGACTGGGCTTTGGTCTTTTTGAAAATTGTTTCCCAGTTCCTTTTTTTGCGCTGTGCTTTTGGTTTACTGCTACTAGATAAATGTAAATATGAAGTACAAAAAGTAGGCAAATATTATCATTACTATTATTATTATTATTATTATTATTATTTCCTTAGAGCGGAAACTTCGCTGGTTTGGAGCTTTAACTCTGATTATGGGCGTGCTCTTTCATTCGTTGAATACAACAAAAGGAAACTAAACCCACTAAAATTACTTTATCTTGACAACTACGAAAATATTCCACTACAATTAAATATATTTAAAAATGTAATATTGTATGGGGTGATCGTTTATAATGTCCTCCCTCTCACCTCCTTTAATTTTTTTTACTTGACATTTGGGAAAAAACCGTCAAATACACAAGTAAACTATTTGCAAAATATATTTTTGTATGTACATATAAAAATATATAATCGCTTAAAAACTCTGCACATTTCTTGTATAATATGTCCTATGCTCAAATCCAATTGTTTTTGAAATATAAAAGCAACATTCAAAAATAAAACAATATTCTAGAGTTTATAATTTATATCTTAGGTGGCTGTGAAGTAGGTCGTCGCCAAAAAGCAGAGGTTTTTTTGTTTTAACTGACAGTGACAATTTTATCATATACAAAATGCTTTATTCGCAAAGAAAAAATACAATGAACGTTTATTAA